GACTACGACCATCGATGCCTGATTCCGCACCAGAGGAATACAAGAAACTTGCCGAACGGTGTTGTGATGCTGATCCTAGTAAGCGATTTGAAGATGGAATGGCACTTTATAATGATATTGACAGGCTTATTGAAGAGGTGAAAAACGACAATTCTGACATATGGAATGCCGTTTATCATAATGATGTAAACCACTTATCACGTCTCGAGAAGGAAAGTAAATATCCCAGTACGCTCTTGCCTACTGGAAATCTGCCTAAACCAAGAAATAATTCTCATCAGTTGCCTCCCTTATCAGATTTCAGCTTGCCAAATTTGGAGGTCGAGTTAGGGAAGGTTGAAGAGGAGTAAGGAAGGTAGTTTGGATTTAGTGGCAGTTACGAAGGCAACGATTGGCTCTGTTCATACAAACGAAGTCAATCTACAATATTAACATCGTCCACTGCTTATGCTCAAACACTCTGAATGAACTTGGTTGTTTACACGTTTATACGAGTTTTATCTTTGATATTTAGAAGACAAATCAGCAAAAGTAACATTTTCAAGGATTCCAATTACGATATGCTTCTGTATGTGTCAATATGATTGAGTTAACAGGATTCCGAAATAAAATCGGCACGTTTACTGTTAGCTGCCTTTGCCAGGTAGACCATTTGAATATGATGCTAATTGCTCCCGAATAAAAAGCGTGACTACATTCGAGCTCGGTTCACTAGACGGTGAAGCTTCATTATCAATTTTAGCACCAGCCGGATGATGTGTGCTTCCTGACATTCTTATCCAGATGACCCCATGCAGTCGGCAATTTTCTTTCTCAACTTCATTTGGATTTAAGACGCGATAGTCACCTCATGATGGAAATGCGATAAAAGTAATCCCACATCTGCTCGAAATCTTCCGATTGAAACTCCTGTAAGAGATGTAACCTTAGGTCATTCCACGGTATCACGCGAGTGAATCCACTCATATCCATCAAAGATCTACCGCCACTCCTTTTCATGATATTGCTGCATAGCCTTAACGGCCCCGTAGCGATGCAACTTTAACAGCGCAAATAAAACTTGGCATACACGTGTGCCAAACCAAAGAACGGCCCCGTTCATATCAACTGCGCGAAATATTGTTTGGTCTGTACCATGCCTAACCTCTGGCCGAGAGTCTGAGCAAATACTAGCTGGCTGCAACAATAACAATGCATTTGTTGTTCTTGGGTTAAGTCTTCTTCGATAATTTGTTCAATGCCCGCGGATCGAAGTGGTATATCATCATCCGCTCGTGATCTATCGATACGTTCCATGGTATAGTAACGGCTGTAAGACTAATATTCAGATCACCATCTGTTGTCCAAATAGACCGAGCGTATTGATGCATTGCTTTAAGCATTCGGGGGGCAACAAAGCAAGAAAATCTGTATATATTATGCGAGTTCTGTCATCTTTGTACTTGATGCACTGAACTGTATTCCCACTTTCATTTGATCACTAATTTCCTCTTCTCCGGTTATGCTCGATCCCTCCATATGACGCGTACACTTTTAACACAAGTCTCGAATGTCTTTATAAAGCAATTCTCGGGCTCTAAATCTATAAAAAAGAAGAAGAGAATTAGCAAAAGACAAATAACCAAGACAAGTTCATAAAAAATCGGCAAAAGAAATACCGCGATGTGCGACGTGATAGGTGCTCTAATATCATAGTCCATCCATACGTAAGCGAGTGTCCGACGTCTGAAGCATTAACATATGACACTTCTGAACCTCCGGGATGGATTGAGCCAGGGAGATGAGGAAACGAGAATCTAAATTCGGGGCAGGCAAGATAGTGAATCGGCCAAGCTTGCATTATATCCCGATCCGCTAGCCAGAATAGAGATGGCTCTTGGACAGAAGTCATTCGATGGTCTCATTGCAACAAACATTTTCATCTGTGGCAGAAATCAATATTAGTCTGTACATTAAGAATGCGTTTCGAATTACCATCAAAGAAATAACCGGACCTGAACCCAATAGAGAAACCTGTGGGCTATCCTTAAGAAAGGGTCGAGAACGAGTTGATATAATTGGCATAGGTTAATAAGGGGAGAATGGGAGGTCTATCTACCTAACTTGCACCCAAAAAAAATGCTCTTTCCGAATAATCACATGATTGATATAGTACTAAAAATACGTGTCGATATTAATATATCAAAAATGTTTGACTTAAACATGGATTCGGCCGATTCTTCTGCGTTTGGACCATCTGAACTAGGAAATAAACAATAGTAATCTTTAACATAAGGATACATGTTTGAATAAACGAATACACAGGTATTTGGTTTCTCATTTTCGTTTTTCCTCATTGACAGCTGGGAGAAAGTTTACGAACGGGACAATATAAATTTCAAAGAAAACGGAGACATTGGTGAAATATGGTATTTTAATTCTTATCAACAATGTATGGTTGGACGTGTTATTTCAAACACCTATTATAAGACTAAAAATAGTTGCCGATGAATAATTTGTAGGTTTGGTGAATCCAGCGCAAAGAAAATTGTAAATTGGGTCAGTCAATAGCATTTCGAATATCACATTCTACTATTGTTTCCTGTTGCTACTATTTCACTGTATATATTTCTCTTCCTTCATTTGTTAATAGATCTGCTCCAGGGTAAAAGATTATTCGGTTCCAATACTTGACCTAGGTTGTGGGAATGGTCACATTCTCCTCTCTCTTGCGTCCAATGGGTATACCAATCTTACTGGAACCGACTATGCTCCAAACGCTATCGAGCTAGCACGAGAAATATGTACCAAACAAAATTTTGATATCGATTACCACATCTTTGATTTATTGTCTGACGAAGATGAGAATATTTTTAATGGGCAACTGTTTGACATTGTAATTGATAAGGGAACGTATGATGCTATAAGTCTCAATGCTGGAGTAATTGAAATGAGGAAAAGCGGGGTGGATCCTTACGTAAGAAAGGTCAGGAAGTTCTGCAAAGATGGTGCTTATTTCATCATCACGTCTTGTAATTGGACTAAAGATGAACTGATAGACAAATTCAAAGAGGGTAAGTACTTGCGTCTTGGACTTGATCCCAAATTAGTCTTGGACAAGCTCGTGAATCACCTACAATGAGCTAACGTTATATACAACTGTAATTACACAGAATTCAATTATCATTCCATCATCAAACACCCCACATTCACATTTGGAGGCGTAATGGGGCAGACAATTTCTACCGTAATATTTACTCTGAAATAATCAAAGAGTATCCCATTTATTATCACTCAATCACGCGTTCGCTAGACAACCACATATTATATTCATTTTGAGGTTGTTATATTGTCTCGTGTAGGACTAGTTCTGATAAATTCAAGAAATTCATCTTCTGTTAAGGTCTTA